AGCAAATCACTATGGCTATCACACAGCACTGCTGTCTGTCCCATGGGCCTCCCACAGCAGTCAGGACGTGCTAGTGGCCTCCCCCAGTACCATTTGTCAAACTGGGGTTCAAGTTTCAAAGACAAAAAGAGCAGTGTCCTGAAATGCTGGTTGCGTTTTGTCTGTCTGTTGGACTTTCATTTATTTCCTAACACTCCAGCAATAAACAGCTTTGCTTTGTTTTTCCCTGTTTTCACTGGCTGTCTATTATTGCCTGGTATGAATATTTTCAATACTCTTTCCTTCTTCTTGCCAAGCACAGTCACAGGGGAGGTGGAACAGGCTTAGGCTGGTAGCAGTCTCTCTGTGCCTCTGCTTCTTTGCAGAATGGGGAAATGATGCCTCTTTCTTTTGCCATTTTTTGCCACATCATGTTGAATTGCTGCTCTATGCTGCGGAAAAAACAGACTCTCTTAATTTTCTCTTTTTCCACTGCTAGGCTGTAATACTGAAGTGTAAAAATCTGAGTCTGTTTCCAAGCTGATGGGAAGAGGAATGTACTGTCCACTCAGGATGGTGTATACTGAGCACAAATAAGGGTTGATATACAGTTTAAACAGTGTATTTAAACAATGAATCCTGTCTGAACATCAGAAAACACTTTTCTTTTACTGTGAGAATGACTGAGCACTGGCACAAGTTGCCCAGGGAGGTGGTGGAGTCTCCATCCTTGAAGATATCTAAATGCCATCTGGACATGGTCCTGGGCAATCAGCACTAGGTGGCCCTGCTTGAGCAGAGGAGTTGGACTAGGTGACCTCCAGAGGTCCCTTCCAACTTCAGCCCCTCTAGGATCCTGTGATTGCAGACTTCAGGTTATTTGTTATAGCCATAATTCTATCAGGTCAGAAGGGAGAAAAGGTTTGTGAGTAGAGAAGTTTTATTTTTAATAGACCAATAATGTTAGAAAAAAAATGGTCAGAATTTTGGATACATGCTTTCATCACCTTCTGTGCACCTAAAATATTGGACATTTTTATAAATACGGTATTTATTTTAACAAAACATACTAACTTAATCCACACAAAATTTTTAGCTTAATATAAGCACATGCCTACAGTGCAGATCCTGATAGCCCTCATAATTATGGAGAAAGGTGAATCCCTTCATAACTTAGGAACGTGAGCCATGTGCATCTGTGCCAGAGATACCTGTCCCTGATACCAATAGCTGCTTTTTCCAGAGGAAAACCCTCAACATTCAGATGTGGAAGTGGAAAGCCCTCAGGAAACAAAGGAAAAAAGAATGTTCACTGCCAGTTTGGGTCAGTTTATCAGAAAGTTGCTTCTGGTTAATATGTTCAGATATAAATGGTCTGAAGGAGTAGGGAAATTTTTAGCAGAATTGTTGGATTAGGCTTTTTGGATCATCTAAGATCCCTATGACATATGTGTGACCAGAAAGATATTCCAGTGAACAATATGAAATTACAAGCATGAAGCACTTGCAAGATATAAGCGAGTGAAAGGCTCAGTCATGAACTCTATAAAATACATAGCAAAGCAGGGGCTACATTATCCTTTTCAGATCAGTGTTACTGGAAATTGCCTCATCTACAGCCAGTCATTGGAGTCTCCTCTTCCTCAGCCTTGCTGTTTAGTCCCATACTGACCCAGTGTGTTTCTGACATATTTCCACAATGTTTAAATAGCACCTCCTCTCAAATATGAGCAGTTTACCAGAAAGTGATGCCCCTCTCCAGGAAAAGCTGTGACTTGATGCTAAAAAAGATTGACTTAGTGAAATGCACCGAGAGATGCAGAGGTGTGGAAGACAGGAAAAGAAGAAAAAGGTAGAGAGGCCATTTTGTGGCTTGCAGATTGACTTATTTAATGACATTTTCATTAACAGTTCTTTCTGCTAAATACCATGAGTTTCTCTCTTTAGAGCTGTCTACATTAATAATGAGTGACTCCACTGGGAAGTGATTTACATAAAACATGCTTCTCTTGTTATAGACAGGAGCTTTGTACTGGGCTAGAGAGACGAGGAGAGGAAGGTAAGTGCACTCTGAAAATGAAGGGCAGTTTCCTATGTTGAGTCATGAGCACCCATGAAAAATCACCATCCCCCATGCTACCACCTTGGCCCGAAATGTCTCCCAGCTCAGAGTCCTACTGCATCGAGGTGGATGTTTTTACACAGGTGTGACACAGAGTGCTGTGGTGGAAAGGTTGGGATCAGCCGATGCATATAAACTCTGCAGAGGAGCTGTAGACAGGAGTAAAATCAGCTTTCCCCGAAGAGCCTTTTCTGCACATTTTGTATTACTTCTGCAGTGCAAAGCGATTGGGGCCTCTGATCACAGCCTTCTGCATTTCTTCAGCCTTAAGTGTCAGAGAAATAGGTTCATATTTTGTGATCTGTCAAGTTCCAGACAGACACCAATGTGAAAATGTGACAACTAGAAAACAGAAAATGAAATACCACTTTTTTTTTTTTTAAATTCCTAAAAATTTATTTGTTCAATTTCTTCCTAAATGTGACTGAGACATTACGTTATGGCTTTTTCTCTAAGTTGGATACAAGACAGTCTGGACCATTTGTTGCTAAGTCATCCCTGATGTGTTTTTTCTTATGGATGAAACAGTCTATGTTGACTCATAAATAAAGAGATGTACAGCTTCTGAACTTCTTCCCCCAAAGTTACAATAAATTCATAGAAAACATATTGCTGAGACTGTACTCTCAAAGTGGATTCCAGTTAAAGTAGATAACAAGTGAGATCTCAGTTAAGTTGAGCTTTCTAAGAGTTAGTGACCTAAGCTGTTCAATGTATACTTTCTTAGAGGACAACCTACAAAATGGCTTAGCTCTCTTATCTAAGCCACCTATTTTAGGATGAAATTTGGGTTCTGAGGGTTCTTATCTCTCTCCATTGGCTATGAAGAAAGCTTGGTGACTTAGCTTAGAACCTGAAGAATTTCAAAGGCTATCTTGGTAGCTTGAGACATTTTTTAAAGAGAGGACAGAATAGTTTGGAAATGGAAGTATAGCTCCCATGAGTTTAGTTAAATTTTTTTATTTTTATTTATATACATATACAAGTAAACTATATACAAATAAGATATATACACTTAGCATGCTTTCAAGGGAAAAATAAGATTGCCCACAAAGAATCTTTGAAAAGGCAAAAATGATAATATGTTACCTGTGGTGAACATTTATGTCACTGAAATGATTTGTAGATACAGTCAAGAACCTTGATTTCTGCAAAAAGAACATCTTAGACCACTGGAAACCTACTTAGAGGAAAATAAGGCATCATTTGTACATAATTAAGTAAACATTTTCTATTCCTCACATCTCCATGGAAATAGATGTGTTGTTCATCTCATTTTTCTGGTGCTTCCAAGAGAAAGACTAGCCTGACAATGCCATTAAGAATCACAGAAGAAATCAAAGACTTTGGAAGGTAAGAACTTTTACTTCATGGACGCTGGTTAGTTTGATAGTTGGAAAATAATGACTGTTGATGAAAACTTATACTGGTACCTGGATTCATGTCACATAAATTGCCAATAAAAATTCAGTTTTTGCTTTTTAATTGATAAATTTCATTTTGGAGTAGTTAGGAGGGCAGTCTTGTGTTCTCAGTCATGATGTCTTCTGTGAAATTACATACAGACAAAAGAAATTTGTCCAAATATGTTTATTTGCTGAGTTTGAGCTTGTATTGAACCCAGACTATCCTTTCAGCAAAACAAATTACAAGAGCTGCCATTCAAATTGTTTTATACTTTACCTTCCTTTTCTTTCTAAATTCTATTCCAGCTAAAAGTCAAAAATCTAAAAAGTAAAGTATTCATGATTTTCGGGGGGGATTGTGCAGATCAACATTTCTGGTAAATTGACTGAAATGTAATGTAAGCTTCTGATTCTTTAAGTAGCCTCGATGAAATGTTAACAGTTCTTCTGTATTGTATCTGTAACGAAGTGGGAAGATTAGAAGTGAGGTTTGGCTTCAGCAGATCGTATTGTTGTCTTTTAAATTAGTTTTGCTCTGGGCACAGTGCCTGTAGTTTTCTTAATCTGTTAAACCTTTTTTGGTAAATTAATAATTTGGACAATGATGAATATAAATAATTTACATCTACAGCTTTCATGTCGTATGTTTGCTGAGCTGGATTTACAAAGGCATCAAGCCAGGATGTAATTCCTGACTTTATTAGGTTATGAAACAGAATCTAGCCAGAAGATATAATGTCCTTAAGCTGTAACATCAGCAGCAACAGACAGACCTTAATGTTGCTGGACCTAATGGAATTAAATTTCATGTATGCTTAATGAATGCAAATGCCACTTAATTTTTACAGCTCGAGTTGTAATACATTGCATGTGACACGTCTGCTCCTGAAAAAAATATTCAAATGTGTGATTCTTACACCCAGTGTCCAATTTCAGCACTGTAAAATGTATCCTCTTAGGGAAGAGGGACTGGAGAAACATGCCAGCAATATTACTGCATAATTTAAAGCAGCCACTAAAGAGAAATGTTAAAATATGCACCAGGCAATTACAAGTGTTGTATATGTTTTTATTCTCCTTTGCTGCTGTTCAACAAGGAGTAGTAAAAAGATTTAGAGCAAGTGGCAACCATAGCAACAAGAAATTTTTGGTCCAACCTGGTGCTGTATAATTTCTGGCAAAGAAACATTTCTGCATACTCTGTAAGGTGTTGATATCTGTAAGATATGTGCAGTGCTTTCAGTTCTGCCTCTCAGGAACTAGTCCCACAGAGGTACGTGAGAGCCAGTTTTGGTGCAAGCCCAAGCAGAAGTGATTTACAATTGGGTTTTACCAGAGCTGGTCGTGACACTTGTATGGTAGTCCCTTGGGTTTGTTAATTATTGATAGAGATAATAAGTCCCATTATGCTCCCTGTGAGAGAGAAGGGAAATAGATGTGAAGTGGAAGAAGGTTTCTATCCCTTACCAGTCCCCTTCTCCATCCAGCTGTGGCTGTGAGAAAACCCAAGCAGAGCTTTGTTCTTCAGACCTGATCACACCAACTACCCTGCTCTGGGGGGTATGAAGGCCCCGTCAAACACAGCTCCCCAGTAGTGGTAAATACCAGAGTGACTCTGTCTTTAAACTTTTTTGTTTGCTTGCAGACAGCTAAGTGGGCAATTACCCTAAAAACAAGTAAGTGAAAACTCAAGGGTGAGATGCAAACTCAATTTTATATGTGGAGAGCTCAGAAAATGTATTCAGTTGATTAGTTGCTGTGCATTTTATAAAACAAAGTGGGTGTCATGATATTGAAGATTATGGCAGACATAGTAGTCACAAAGAAGTCTAGCTACTGACTGTAAACTAAGCTGTGCAAAGTCAAAAGGATCTGAGATTCACACTCAGAGAATGTTGACCTTCACAGCTAGACACCAAAATTAAATATCCATCACTTCTCATGACAAAGAGTAAATTTGCACAGTTAATTCTGAAATAAAAATGGCGACAAGATTACCATACAATGAAGAGTATGCAATATGAAAGATGTTATTCTAGAGAACATGTTAGAAACAACTGTCATTAAATGTCAGGTTTTTTCTATCTCTTTTGGAGGCAATCCTTCTACTTTATAAGATAGAGCTGTTCTACACAGTGACTTAGAGTAGGCTGAGGGCTTTTTACTCCGATTTGATGGGACAAACACATCCTCCAGTAAAGGTACTGAGGTCTGTAAGCCTCTTTTGTTCATAGCCTTGTTTTCCTTAGCTTTTCCTCTTTCACATACCCCAGGTCTGCAGATCCCAGGCTGAAAGCAACTACATGATGAGGTGCCCCTTGAAAGTCCCTTAACCAGGTATTAATTCCTGCTATTTAGTAAGTTTTACAAGCTATTTGCCCATTGCTTTTTTCCAGACGTGGGAAATTGGGGATAGGTCCCAGAGATGGTGTACGTGAAATACACACCTGACCATTTTATCTAACATTCCTTTGAAGGTTACTTATCACAAAATGCTGTGATAGCACATAGACCTCCTCCACTTCATTACACCTTAATTTGGGATCCTGAGACTATAAAATTGTTTCGTAAATTATCTGGAAATAGCTATATATGACTCTGCATCCCAGGGGAAGAAACCTCTTGCCCTTTGGCAAGACATATGAAGTTACCTATGATCAAGGCAGCACATTTTTAAATACCTTATCTCTGTATTTGCAATCGCTGTATCAAGTTACAAGGGTAGGAAGCGGAAGAAAAGCATTGCCACTTTAGAATACAGATGTTTAGAAAGGAGTGAATTAAGTGAGACAGAAATCTAGGATCTTCTACTTTCATTTTTTTCACTAACACTATTTCTTTGATAGCCTGGGATAAAAAAGGCAGAAGGTGGGTAGTATTATTTGAACAAAGATCTCAGCAATTATTACATGTGGATAGCCTTTGTATTGTGCAGATTGTTTTCCTCCACACATATTTTGTTTCTTGCATTGAAGCACTTAAAACATATCCAGCAGAGTTATACATCTGTATAAATATTTGATAACTCTAATTGTGCAGCCTGAACCACACTTTCACCCTTGGGCATGTAGTGCAAGTAAATGTGCATAGCACCTGTATATAAGTTGTTAAGGTGATCAAGGAATGTGTGAGCTTGCCTGAAGCATCAATTTAAAGCAACAGCTCTATTTGTGCTATTTCAAAATCAAGGGAAAAGTATGTTCTTATTTTATAATTAAAGAGAATTACTGTTAATGATTGCACATTACTCGTTAAATTAACATGAAAATCATCAAGTTCTCATTGTCACTTCTATTATAAACACCTGTCCTGCTAGGAATCTTTCACATGCGAAAAAGTATCAGACATGTAACAGGGTAAGAAAGAGATTTCCGGCATAAGATCATCTAAATACCATTTTGGTTCTTAGAAAAAGAATTGTTAATCATGGATTTAATTTATTTTGGAGAGAGGTGAGCTATAATTATAGCTCTTAGAAATGCATATTGCAGGATTTCTGTCTTTTATTTTCTGCTAAATGTCATTTTTCATCTGAAAAAGAAAAGCTGGCTATTTTTATTTTGAAAAAGCTGCCTCTGACTGTATATCAATAGACTCTATTCTTCATGAATTGTTGACAAATTGAAATACTAATATAAGAAAGAAAAATCTCAGTTTTTTTCCTATCCATATCCATCTTAAATGCAGAAAACCTGAGGTTATTCTTGTAGGCAGGCATAAGACCAGGGTTTCCATCCTTTGAAAAATTCTGATACTGCTAATTTTAATTCCTCATGACTTGGAGTGAAAAGTTGAGGTAGTTTGGGGGAATCACAAACTCTCCAGTCTCACAATTAGTCATAGCACTTGTTTAGTGCTGAAAGAAAAGGCTTCTTGTAGTCTTTTCTTTGTTTGCTTGTTTATTTTTACCTTCAATGTGTCCAGAAGACTGAGAATATGGGTCTTGTGGGACATTTTCTTCCAGCTCCTCTGCTTTCAATTTTTCTCCCCAGGCTGAGTGTTTTGATTGGACTGAACCTTCTTGGCCACACCACAGCCATGCATTGCCCACCTATGTGTAATGTTTCAGCCAAAGGGGCAGCATGAAAAGTGTCCTTATGTGAATGCTTATGTTGTGCTGCAGTCTTGTGTGTAGCACTGCAGCAATTCAGTTGGACACAGCTTAGTGTTGAACTGACACTCCACAAATTCATCTGAGATGTTTCTATCAAGGCTGACATGATTCAAAGGCATTTCATTTCCGTGTCTGATGAAAAAGTGAAAAATTACTTTTACCCACAGAAATTTTGATTCACAAAGAGTTTCAGTTTTAAGGACAAAGACATTTTTCCCGAACAGCATAAATCAAAGTTGTTTTCCTGTTTACAAACATCCCAGCCTTGCTTACTGGATGCCCTCCTATATTTTAGTGTAACTGCTCACCCTCAGCTGTCCTTCTCAGCTTGGTTGAGGGTAATGGAAAAGGATCCACATTAAAAAATAATAATAACACTAATTTATTGCTTTTCAAAAAGAAAAAGAATGTATGTGACAAGTATAATCTGCTTCTTTACCATGACTCAGATAATCTAGGCCAAGCCCTTGGACTTCTGCTTGCATATCTTCTCCTTCAATCTGTCATAGCACCTGGGGCCATTACCAAAATGAAGGCAGCAGGTGCCCCCAGTGGGACTCTTCTTGCTGAACATGAAAATCTCCAGTTTCCGTGAGCTGAGCTGATCACCTTGAACACCTGTTATTGTTAAGGGAAGAAATAGGCCCTGTTATGGCTCAGGTTGTTTGCTCCATCCTGGCACCTGTATCAGGACAGCAACACCATGCCCTGCAAGTGTCCTTTTGCTCTGCTGCCTGTGCAGACTCAGGGCAGCTGTCACAAGGATAAAGATCTGCGTTTTGTTAAATCAGTCAAGGAGCCTGTGAAGATGTCTTCTAACTCCAGACATAAGGAAGTATGAGAGGTATTTTAAAACTGGTAACAATCTGTCATTATAAATGCTTCACTGAAATTGGTTTGTTAGTTGTTATGCCTTGTTACGTTGACATTGTTATACTCTTAATGACACACTCTAAGCTTGAGAAATGTTAATAGCTGTGAATAAGTGAGATTCAGATCCAGGAACCATCAGCTTATGAAAGTAAAACATCTGCTTTCAGCTTCAACAGAGCTTTTTTTATAGTAAGACTATCTGGATATACAAGGCTGGACACCCATACATATATATATTTTATATATATATATATATATATATATATATATTATACTGGGCACCCATAAGTAGTTTCGGCAAATGTCTAATTTCTTAATGGCCTGGCCTCTAAGAAATTGGATCCAAGACCCATCAGAACTCTTGCACATGCATCCGTAAATCTGAGAAGGTACATTTATAGGCAGTTATATCTCTGGGGTTGTTAAGATTTTTTATTTTTTTCTAAGGGTGAAGGCCTCAGTGGCAGCTCAGAACTAAATTATATGGGCTGAGGGGTTTTCAGGTTTTTGACACAAAAATGAACTTAGCAGCTAAGGAAATGTTCTTCTGTCCCTAGCATAAAATTGGCTTTAAAATGAAGCAGAGTGAGAGAGGGGTTGGTATGGAGTCTCCAGGGATAATTAGCAGAGATTTTTTTATACTAGGAAACTACCTGCTCTTCTTCACTGGAAGAAACAATATTTGTGAAACCATTCAGCAATTTTCAATCATCTAGAATCACCTGAGATACTTAACAGCATTCTGCTTAGCCTCCTACCTCTCTCTCCAGCAGGCAATGGTCTCCCAGAAGTCCTGCATCAGATGTGGCTTGGATGTCCTAGGAGGTCTCAAATGGTGTTAGAGATGTTTGAAATACTATACATCTCACTCCAACGGAAAAAGTCCAAACCTTTCTGCTTGAGACAAAGAAATGGCATTGTAGCATCTGTGAAATGCTTTTTTTAACCATTCACCATCCTTCATAGTATCAGTAATATTTTTCTTGTATTAAAAGAAAACCAGTAAAAGCAAATGGGATTTCGGTGAATTTTTATGCATATGAATTCTAAATCAAATATTCTGAGTACACCAAATGTGCATGTTTTACTTGAGAATGACAAATATATGAGGAAATGTTAGGTTTTCTGTGGCAGAGGAAGAAGGCAGACAAACCTCTGAAGTAAAACAAACCTTTAAAGACTTTTATTCTGTAACACCATGTTTGGCTTCCTATAAAAATTACTGTGAGGAGTGCAGTTGATAAGTAGGATGTTTCTAAAAGCATTCGCTGATGTACTGAAGCATAATTTGCTGGCATAGACTTCCAATTCAGCACCATGGTGCAGCCTGCAGTGCACTTGGGTGATATTTGCAGGCCAGGCTGCCTGCTGCTGGCTGGATGGGGAGGGTGAAGCAGAGGTAGGTGGGGGTCACTCCCAGTTGCCTCCCAGCTGGGTTTGTGATTGGAATCATCCAGGGTGCACTTAGCATCAGCTAGAGAGGAAACAGTTGAAAGAAATAAGAAATTTGGGCAGAGATTTAGGTACATGTTGTTCTGTGATGAAAATATTTGATTTGGGCAGACTGCAATAGAGGTTTACCACTGCTCTGTACTTTACTATATGATTATTCTGGCAGGTTGCCATAGCTGCAGGTGCCAAATAATCAGATTTTTTTGTTTTCCATGAGGACTCAAATTCTTTGTCTAAAGAAAGAAAATATTTTTTTTTTTTCTGTCACTTGCAGCAGTAGTTTACATCATCATTACTGAAGAGTACCTAGCAAGAAGTGATTCGCCAGTACCAAGTATAACAAATATAAAGACAGTCAAGAAAACTGTCTAAATTACATAGACTAATGGAGAGGTCTGATTTTACACTGCCTTGCTTCTACGCTGTATTGTTTGCAGGACAGAATTGTATAAAGATGAAAGGCCTTTTATTCTGTGTTATTTTCTCCATACAATGTTTTTTTTCCAGTTCCACGTTGCACTAGTTTAATAAATAGTTCTTGTTTCCGAAATTCATTTTGTTGGACAGTGACAGAGCCATAATGATAACAGCCTTCTTGAAATCATCACTCTGTCACAGTTGCCTCAAGGGAAACATTGCAGATCAGTGACTAAGGAGGGAGTTTTACCATCACGTTAACCAGAAAGTCACAACCAGTTTGAATTTACACTAATGTAAATCAGAAGTGAATCAGCTGTACAGCAGTGTGATTTCAGTGCCAAGCACATTGTTAATCTATGTTTCTCACATTGACTGCTCTAATATGCTCACTTATTTTCCTCCTGTAGTAAAATAAATCCACATTTCTCTGGGAAATCCTTTTGTATATACGGTTACCATGCATATTATGTTAACTCATTGCATGGATAAAATCAACAGCTAGTCTTTTGCAGTTTGTTTGCCCTGAGACAGGATGTATTTTTACCAGCATGTTCAAGATATGTTAAAGTAAGCAGTCTTGAGCAGATATAAGTCAAATCTGTGCTCCAAACCAATTCAAGAGATGGGTTTTTAACCCTTGGTATGATGTAGTTTGTTAAAAAGCAAACATAATGGTAAGCTTTAGGTGGATGGCTAGGAACATTTTGCTAAAGTAGAAATGATGGAGAAAATAACTGTTCAGTCTCTGAAAGTTTTGTAGAACAAACAATGGTAGAAATGCAGACATTTTATTTTCCTTTACTTGTTTCACTAGTTTTAGACAGCTGACTTAAATGAAGCCAACTTTTGTTAATATTCGTGAAAGAACAGGATCAAGCTAGATTTCTCTTGTAAAGTAAACTTGACTACTTCTAGACCAACAAAGCCAACAGGACTTAGTGTGGATGGTCATATAATAATCTAGCCCTGCAGAGATTATAAACCTAAAAAAACCCCAACCAACCAGCCAAAAAAACACAACTAAGATTCTAGTTCTTGCCACACTGAAATAAGGAATAAAAAAAACCCCATGAGCTGAAGGGGGAAATAATTTGCAATAAGAAAGCAATTTCAGTTTCAAAAGGTTTGTTTGTTTTGACTGAGTGGTCTAATTTCTTTTTAATTATGAAGATTGAATTGGTGAGTTTCTCCTAAGCTTTTTGCATCCTACAATGTATTTCAGATGGAAAGCTGAGTAATCTTATGTTGCTTATGTCTGAGGTGTGAACTTTCTGCCTTTCTTTTTGTTTGAATCAGCAAATGCTAAACACTAACTTACTAAGAGAGAGTTTCAGACTGGAGAAACCAGCCCCATCAGTCCCATGCTAATCAGGCATTGCCCCTGCTTGCTTGCCTCTTGCAGAGCCCTAGTGCTGCTTGCCTATGAGTGGGTGCAGGAGCCAAGCACTGCATGGGCTGTTCACATTCAGTAGTCAGTCACTCAGAGACTCACCCATGGAGGAGCTGAGCCCTTGCTTGGGTTTGAAATTCACCAGATTTCCGCACTTTTTTAAGTCTAGCCATGGTGGAGCTTGCTTCTTTTCAACTTTGACTTCACTGACTCTTTTTCTGGGTCCTGAAAAGTCTTGTATTTTGCTCAGTGATACTGACTGTTCTTCCAACTGCACTGCTGCTCCCTGCAACATTCCTTAAGATGCACTGCTTCTCTGGGTCTTTGATCACTGAGGCACTCCTCTCCCACTGCCTAAAGTCAAGTCTTCTCAGTGACCTGGCTACAATATCCTGCCCCTCGTTCAGCTGCCATCTTCCTCCAGTTTCTGCCTGTGACAAGTGTCTAATGCTCCCCTTTTCAGATGACTGAAATGGTACATTTTCTTCATGAACCAACTCATTGGTGCCAAATACCCCTGTCTGCACTCCCTAATTGTGAGTGTTACAGGCCTGTCAAGTCTTGCACATCTGAAACTTTGCACCTTGAGAGCTCTGAAGTGGAAAGAAGCAAGTTCGTTATTAATGGACTCTGCTTTCCCCTCCAGAGCTGATTCTTCTGGATGACCTACTGCGGCATTTCTCTAATCTTCTGGCTTGCCTTCACCGCTGCTTTTGAGACATGTGAGTCCATCAGTTTGACTGGTACATGTTTGAGAAACTATGGATATTTCTCATCAAGCCTGGAAAGGAGGACAAACAGGTAACGAGCTGCAAGGGTGTAGAAGGAGGAATAGAGAAGATATCTTAATAACTTCTTTTCATTGAAATGAGGAAAGGGTGTATTTTATCAACATACCTCTTATTGTTCACAGTCTGTGTTTTGAGATACAGAAATTTGTATGATATCATGTTGGCCCAGGTGTCATCAGGTGATAGCCTCATCCCGATGATCCCCTTTTTCTGTATGCATTTGCTAAGTCCTCCTGGTGAAGGTAAAAAGTTAAAGACCTTCTAAATTCAGAGGGGACTGACTACATAGCAACATGAATAGAGCATCATAAATCAATCTTTCTTCAGGAAAAAAAATCCCTGCAGACTTCAGCCTGCTTCAGGGGGAGCATAAATATCTTTTAAATACAGGAAGCAGATCACGTTTCTGGAAGAAACTTTACTCTCCAGAGTTTAAATGGTACGGATCTTCTTTCACATAAGCTAATGTAAAGCTGGGCTAAAATTGTTATAAGTGAGATCAGGCCCTTTGTTGTAGGTTGAGATATTTATAAACAGCTTTGTCTTCAAACAATGTGGGCCATCCATCATGTGTCTCAGCCTTAGAAAGTAGTGCACGGTTCTGAGGAGAGGGACTGGAGTTTAGTTTACTTTGAAGGAAGCAATGTTCAAAGAAAAATGTCTTCTTTGCTCAGCGAAATCATTCTGATTTCCATGGTACCACACCAAGCATGCTCTAAGGGGATTGTTTCTCTCCATTAACCTTAGCCAGTGCTGCTGCTTCATCAGCTGTGTGAGGGCTCTTATTGCCGCAAATATATTAAGCTACATATTTCTTCCTGGAAAGCCCAGGTCAGCTAAGAAAATCAAAGGAATTCAATAAGTTAAATTTTGGAAGGAAGTGTGTCATGGCCATAAAAAAAGAACTCCCTACAGAAATATACTTCCAGCAATAAATTCTGAATGAGCTATAAGAAGAGATATTATTTATTAAATGGATAAAGAAACAGTGAAAATTAGGTAGTGCCATGGGGTGCTTTCACTGGCAAAAACTGGTTAGAAAATAGAAATTCAAGTATTTGAAAATTGATATTCTAAATAGGAATCAAAGTTTTAAAAGTATTTAAAAGGAAATTCCTGCTTTAAAATAATTTGAAAGTATTTAATCATCTCCTTCTGGTCACATTGCAATAGTTTAATATCAATTATTAAACATAATGCTTTAGTATTTTTAATAGAAAGCCAAAATAATCAGGTTAAATGTAAACACTTTTGCAAAACAAAACCAATTTTGCATTGCCAAGATGGAATGGGCAAAGTAATTGCAAAGCTGTGGAAATTATTTGTTTAAGCTTTTGCTTATATGTAACTTGTTCCAAATCACTGCATTCCCTTTCAGAGTTTCACTTCTGGAGAAACTTTAAAGGAAAGTTTGGCCACCAAATATTTTATGACCGACACTAGGGTAATAATTGTGTCCTACCAGTGCACGGTAGACTTGGGGTGTTCTTACCACCAATCTGGCTGCTCACGATTACTCTGATTACAAATGGGCAAGTGTTAGGTGCCCTTTCACCAGTTTGAGATTCAGCCTCATGGCTGCCCCTCCAGAGCAGTAAATCATGGACCAAAATTGTTTTACTTTCTGCAAATAGAGGTTGTCTGTTCAGGCCTTCAAACTTGTCCACACTTGCAATAACTTAAAGTCTGACTTGGCTTGATTCTCTCTCAGAGCAAAACACAGGCTAAACAGCTTCCTTTCTGTTAGTTACAGTTCACTGTTTCCTATAAGTGTGACAATTACCAGCACTCACAGAAAGAAATCCTGCAGATTACTTGGACTTTAAATAGTAAATGTGATAATCCTTTCATATTTATACTTCTCTTTCTAAAAGGAGATCCTTGAATCTGTGGTAGTGTTCTCTTTTTCCACACA